AGAAAAGGTAAGCTGAGTTTATCTAAGCTTCTGTTTTTTTCTGCTGGTGAATTTGTTTCCATCTGATGATGTGGAAAGCTCTGACGCGCTCAGACTTAAAATTTTGTCGTTTCAGCTGCAAATAAATACACTGAAATCCCGAAACATTCAAGTCTAACAAGAGTTTCTGACACTTCTGAGCGGCCCATTAGGAAACGTTTCAGCGGGAAAATCCCCAAGATTTTCAGTGCTCCAGGGAGGATTTCACTAAATCTTGTGCTTATTCTCATGATACTTAGGAAAAGTAAAGCGGTTTTAATAGCTTTCCCCTGACACATTGATGGTAGAATATGCTTTGGCTCTGTGGCAGATAGCTTCAATCCGAGGTCGACGGAGAGGGGGGTGGGGGATTGGCTCGTGTCTGCCTGCCAGTACGCTCTCATAAGGCCCCATCTAAACCAAATTAATACACTTCCTCCAACATCTGAGGATAAACCTGAAGGCCACATTACTGTGGCAGCCCCTATCAGCCAGCTTGTAATACAACCGAGTCAGCAGTCAATGAGATACATTTGCAACCAGGCATTTGTCAGCGACTCAGTGCCATTGAGGCAAGAGATTTAAAATGTCCTCCAGTAAATTAAGTGCTGCTTGAAAAGTGAAAGGTGCCGGCTAAGCAGGCAGCTGCTTACTTTAAATGACACTCTGGTTAAAGGGCTGTGGCGACAGTGGAGAGAGGAGAGGAGTGCTTGCCTGGGTTAATATTGTTGACAGAAAATGTTAAACATCTGTAGAATATCTACATATCTGCTACTGTAAATGTGACCAACAAACCAGAGAAGAATTTGTTTCCCTGTTTGTCTCAGATTCTGCTATGAAGTTTGTTTTCCACTGAAAAAACATGATGCTGAGAAAAGAGAAGCTGTGGCTCTTTACATGGATCTCTCTTGTTTGCACTCTCTCACAGGAACTTTTATTCTTATCCAAAGCAGAACTTTAGCTTTTTGCCATGTTGTCGAGTCGAGGAAACAAGCACATGAAATATATTTTTAAAAAACTTCTTAAGACGCCTCATCTTATGAAGCCAATACATATGACAGACTGAGCTGTCACTAAGGAGCTTATAGAAATAATGGAAATAGTGTAGTTTCTGTAGCGATGATGTGAGTGCTGTTACAGAAAGGGAAACAAGCTGGTATTTCCCAAAATATGTTCTGGACTCAGCCTAAGCAGAGGAGTGGCTTTCTTGGATTACATTAAAACGGGGAGAGCAGAGGTGCTGGCACAGTGTAAGGTTTGATAAGCTACTACTGGCTGAAGACAGAAAGACAGCCTTCAATCCACATGAATGGTTTCTAAACTACCTTTATTTATTTATTTATTTTAACCAGGAAGGCATTTAAAATATGTTTTATCTAAATTTGGTTCAAATGTGTATTCATTACATTAAATTTTCTAAATGATGTTTGAGAAATATTTTCAAAAACGGTATTAGGCACACCTACCTGCAGTACTCGCAGTAATCCACAAGAGATCAGTATATCGCTGAGTGATAGGAGACTCAGGAACGTACACACACACAGCCCAAGTCTTTTGAGAAAAAGACTTATTACTAATATCAGTTACTTTAGAACATTATTAAAAACCAAAAGTTGAACGTAATACACGTCTGTAAGAAACGGTGGAATGGTGCGTAAAAAATAATTGTGATTTACGGCACAAAAACAGTGGGCTCGTCCGGGATTTGAACCCGGGACCTCTCGCACCCAAAGCGAGAATCATACCCCTAGACCAACGAGCCGCATGTAAAGGACGGAAGAAGTATAATTTATAAACTGTAACAATCACAGCTGTCAAACTCGGATTTTACCAAACGTTCTATAAATTCACTATCTAGCATGTAGCATGTAACCTTTGCTTAAAATTCATGTAAGAACTAGTTCCTGTTAGGTAACGTTACTTTAGCTCGGTGACCCACAAGCGTTTGATGTCCAGCTACCAAAGTCATAATTAATTGGATTTGACACATCATTGATTAGGTATGACTTAATTGAACTTCATTATGGAAGCCATCAGTGCATTTTTATTCTACATTTAACATGAACTGGTGTAGCTGTGTGCTGGAATGGGCAATATGACTTTGACATGATCCTGGACATTTGCAGAAATGTGCAATTAGAGCTATCACATCATTTTCATCAAACCGTGATCTCTCTTTTTTCTTTTTCTCAAAGGTTCCATAAATGAGATGTAATATGGAGTCATCCATTAAAGATATCAGTGCGTAACTGCATCAGGCTGTAAAATTCTGTCAAAAAAATGTAACGAATCCCCATTCGTAAGCAGGATATGCAGGCTATGATTCATGATATATTTCATGATAGCCTTACATGTGCTGCAAAGACTTTATGTTGTGACTAGTGAGAAGCCTCCTTTTAAAGCAAACTGACACAAGATAATCAGCGATGTTTTCCTCTTGAACCTATGATCGGTGTGCTTCACTGTTTATAGGAACAGTTTAGGAATCATTGGTATAGAAATGTGACCCTTCCCCCTGAACATGCACCCACGCTTTACCCAAACATCCAAAGTGCTATCAGATCCTCTCAGCCTATAACCGTAGATAGAGAAGTTAGACAACTCAGATAGATAAATCAGACAACAGTTAGTTATGTGAAAGCCATTTTGTTCAGAAGAAAAAGATCAGGATTGTCCCAGCCTGACTCTGTGATTGTTTACATTTTTAAGCTACATTCCAGTGTTATTCAGACAGCTCTGCAAGCAGGGACTGGTATTAATGAGTAATTGATTCTAGTGCCATATCAAGTCTGCTTATAACTTACATTATTTACTGATTCCCTTACAAGGACAATCAGCATTGTTTAACACGATCTCCCTCAACACTATCTAATAACAGGAGTTTCTGACTCAGTTGTGCAACAGCTGCATTGCATTAGTTTGGCATCATTGAGGAAAACATACCAGCAATGACAAGTATTTGAAACAGGCTGACACATGGAAATGTTTCTCAGTTTACACCCCTATCTTTAATATAACCTACATTACCCAGTCTCCTCAGTCTAGAGGGTATGCTGTTAGGTAACTGAGATAAGGAGATGGGCAGACAATAGCGGCATATTAATTCCATTATTAACATCGGTGGGAATAACTAGAAGTTATGCTAATTCCTTGAAGCTGCTCCCTATTGAGGGAGAACTAGAGTGTGAAAGAATAAATATCTGAAAACATCACAAAAATATATCCATAAAAATGCTATAAAGCTTGTCTCTCACAAAATCTCCCACTTTCATGAAACCTCAGCTAATGAAATTGTAGATATTTCACAAAATGTAAAATATTTTATAATTTATTTACTGGGATTTATTAACTTTGGATGGTTTGGACAAGTGGAGAGGAGGAATGGTAGGTATAGCGGACAAAAGGCCTCAGTTCATGAGTGTAGTGAAGGAGGACCTGCAGACATTGGTGTGACTCAAGTGAAGTCTAGAGATAGGGTGAGCTGGAGGCAGATGATCAGCTGTGGTGACACCCAATATGTGCAGGTGGAAGAAGAAGAAGACTTCCCTATGTTGAACTTACCATAAAGGCTCAATCTGAGCTGCATCACAGACTGGACTATATTAATAATTCAGGGTAGCTCCTATTATATCCCCTTTGGGAGTCTAGCCTGTTAATAACCCCCATGCTCTGTCTGATGGGCTTTTATTTTTTATAATGTACTTCTAATGGCCGATCTTGTACATGACACAGGCTCCTGCTGACTCACAGGGGCAAAGTC